ATCAGGCTCCCCCCAGGGTGCCTGCTTCTCCCTCTGCCTGTATTTCTGCTTCTCTCTGTGTGTCTCTCATGAATAAATAAACAAAATCTTTAAAAAAGAAAAAAAGGAAAAGGTCATCCAGGTACCCAAAGCCATCCATGTCTCGGTCCAACTTAGCTCTTCATTTCATCTTGTGTATACCACACTTTAATTTTTACACTCTAAACACCCTGAACTGCTTATTCCAGGACATGCAACATTGCTTTATGCCTCTTTTCCTTTGTACTTGCCCTCTGTTTCATTCTTATCTTTGTTAACCTGGCCAAGTCCTCCTCATCCCTTAAAACTGCTTAGAGGTCAACTTCATGAGGGCTCCATGAATCCTCTGAAAGGATAAATACCTCCCTCTGGTTTTCCCATAGCACAAAGAATATCTTTTTAACATGATACAATATTGTCTTGAAATGATTTGATTGTCCCAATCTTCCCTGACAAATTGGAAGTTCATGAAGCAGTAGGACAGTATCAGCATCTAAACACTGCCACATTTAATTACCATTTGGAGTGTGGTACTAGGTCAATGATGTGGATAGAACTGTGTTAAATGTATTTGTATAAATAAATTTCATAGGTGAGCGAGTCATATACCTCTACCCCTCAGTGAAAAAGAGAGGTCATTATTGTATCTTAGCTACCCTGAGAAAGTACATATCACACAGTACACCTGAATGAAAAAAAATACTATGCTGGAGGAAGGCAATGTGTTAAATTTAGTTCCTAGAAAGAGAACATGTTAGGGCAGTGAATCTTTGAGAAACGAATAGAGAAATAGATAGGGTAGCAAGGAGGTGTCTTTGGGCTTATAATCATTTGACACAAGGATGAGGCAAGTCAAGAACCCAGCTGTAATGCAGCCCAAATATCATATCAAGAGTCTGGCTAAACTACCAGGTCTCTATAACTCCTCACATTACTGTCATTATAAAAAGGAGAGTCACATGTATATAAAGTAAACACAAATCAGGGATGGAGTGACCAGTGATCTGACAAACTGCGCCTTTGGGAGGGATGCCGTAGCAGACGGCAGTGCTGCTGCTCATTTCCCCTCAGCCCTCACCTCTACCCACAGAATCCTGTTTACTGCGAACACCCACAACTCTATGCCTGAGAACTTTTTTTGGATCACATAGCAAGGAGTGCCTATGCACAGAACAAGTCAGAAGTATCAGGGAGTTAGTGCCCTAGAATTAGCCCTCAACCAGTCATGAATGTGGAGCTGGTGTATAAATACCCCAGATTCCCAGTCTCCCAACTGGATAATTCTCAGGTGTGTTGTACGCTGTTTCCTACAGTTGTCCACTGAGATTGAACTCTGGGTGCCCCCTCTTTAATGGCTTAATGACACCCTCTTTGTGGCTTCCTTCCTTTCCCTGGATCACTTCCCCACTCTCCTTGGGTTTCTAAGACCACAACTTAAATAAATGACTTGCTCTCGAATCCTTATTTCAGGGTCTGTTCTTGGGGGGAACCCACATCAAGGTAGGTGTGAATGGTGGGCAAAGGATGAGAAAAAAAGGATGGCTGTGAGGTATAAATAGAAGTTTCTAGCTGAAGACGTGTTTGGCAACTCTAGACCTCATGTTACTCCCACTGATATGGTTGGTCACAGTCTAAGTAAATATTCTTGTGAATCTGACATGCTCGCCATATTCTCCAATGTGATGACAGAAGTGCTGCTAAGAAACACAGCATCATCCTTAATCCACTGAAATTCTGTTCAGTAAAAACTTTTAACTTCAAAGTTCCATTTTCCCTTTGTTTTTTAGGGGACATTGTTGATGTCCTACCCAGATCCCCTCAGATCCCTTGTACCATCTCCGCACGCCTATCTCTTGCTTCTGAGTGCTTGTCTGCTAATGACTTACACCCATGGTCTTCAGAGATTTGCCCTTTAGACCTGGAGCTAGGGGCCTAGATACACTTTAAAGTGTGTTCCCCCGGCCCCCCGGTAGAGTTGTCAAATAAAACACAGAATTCCCAGTTAAATTTGAACTTCTGATAAACAATGAACAATTTTTAGTATAAAAATATACTTACGTTTATATAGTATATAATGAAAATAGTATTTCATGGGTGTCAACTTTTTAAAAAGCTGTTTATCTGAAATTCAGATTTACCTGGACATCCATCCTGTATCTGTATTTACTAATCTGGAAACCCTATCCAGGGGAATCCACAGTCAATGACTAATTGGTATAGGAGTACAATGGTCCAGCTCCTCAAAATGGAAAAATTCAGAGACACACTTTATTATCCAGAATCCTTTGCAGGGTCAAGCTGAGTTCTCCAATTCAGACCTCATGTGAGATAGTACAATGCTTGGGTTCTTTCCCTTCCTTATCTGCTTCTCTTACTCCTGTACTCCTTTCTCCTGGAATCATTGCATTAAGAAACCCCTCACTTATGATTCCTTGTCTGAGGGTTTGTTTCTGGGTGAGCATGACTCACAAATCATACGACACTGTCAATTCATCACAGTGTAAAAGGGATTAGGTATCACTGCCCTGAAGAACATTCTGCTCATTAACTATAGCTTACATGCGTATTCTTTGGGAAAAAAAAGTCTCCTCTACCTCACTTGTCAAGGCCCTAGAAACAGGTGAAGAACCAGCTGCCATGCTCTTCTGGGAGGCTGCTGGGCCTTGCCTAAGCCATTTGTACTTTTCCCTGCTTTCCAACTACTGAAAAGAAAGTCAACTAGGCATCTGGTAAAACATCATTTCCATTCTGGTTTGATAGGAGTTTTAAACAAGAATGCTCAAGGCCAGCTGCTCCAGGAAAAGGGCAGTGAACCATGAGGAAATATGCATTGTGGAGGAGACAGGGGAATTTCATTGCTAAGCTGGGTCAGGTACTAGACCAAAGAGACTGGGCTCTTAGAATCTCTTTAGGGAAATTTGCTGTTCCATATTCTAAAATGGGTTACAGAGGAGAATGAGGTTTTTCTTGCAAAATCTAAGGAGAACAGAAAATCTGCCAGTTTTACTACTTGGCTTGCAGAATTACTGCAGCCTCAAGCAAACAAAAAAGGAGCTAACATCTTTGGTGATGAGAGTTAAGAAAAGATGGGCTACTTCCTGCCCAACTTTCCAAGGAATAATTTTGGGATGATGTAACTCATCTCACTGTGGCAGTCCATTAATGAGTCATCATTTTGATAAATGCTCATTCTAGGAAAAGAACATTTTGCTCTACTGATCTCCCAAACAGCTTTTTTTCCTCTTTCTTAATGGGAAAACATTGTTTTTGGCATGCTTGAACCAAAGCATCCCTGACTACTATCGTCTGATCTTCTATAAGCCATTTCAGGTACTTAAAATTTAAAAGATAAAGTCTGCTTTACCTCCTTTCAGTTTACAACAAGAACAAGAAAATCCTAGATTAATAAGCCAGTGTTTGGTGAAACATGTCCATATGGCTTTATAACTTAATGATTACTTATACGCCGCAGTAGATAACATATGAGAAATAAACCCAGGCAGATGGATTTTGGAAGAACAGCAAAAGCCCTGAGATACTGGAGACCATGCCCCTTATTCTTGTTAAGCAACCATAAGACTAATTAACTTAAAATGGAATTATCTGTTTGTTGGGTCAGGAGATTTTTTTAAAAAAATGTTTTAACAAGAATTCCATCTTTCTTCTTTTTATATGTATTGTCCCTCTTAAATGCTAGCCTGAAGTCTTTGCCAACATAGCTCATCCATGGAGTCCCCAAAAGGCTGAGCAAAAATAGCAACACTAAGCTAGTTGTTTATCATCTCTAAACAATTTGGAGCACTGAGAGTCAGGAGTTCAACAACCAAAAACAAAAATGAGATTTTTATATAAAGATTCTGTGGAACTTGGCATGGGGCTACCCCAACGTAAGTCAAAAGAAACTATCTCAAGGACAAAAGCAACCAAGGTTTTATTTTCTTATCACAAAGGAAGTATATTTATTTTTTGAAAATTTGAAAAATACTGAATATAGTGATGATCTTTTGATAGTGGATGATAAATGATTTGTTTTCTGCTTCCTTATTTTTTTCTGTGTGGTTTTACATAAAGTGTACTACTTTGCAGCAACGCAACAGAGAAAAAGGGAACAGGTACGGAGAGTCACCATGGGGGGGAAAATGAATAGTCAGGAGAGGGTCCTCTCTAGGGGAATTTGCTGTTTCATATTCTAAAATGAATTGCAGGAGAGAATTTGATTCTGCTTGCATAACCTGAGGAAGTGTTGCTACCTGGCTCTGCAGACTTACTGCAGCTCCAAGAAAACAAAAAGGAGTTAATGTTTGGACCAAGCAGTGAAACCTGAGGGTAGAGGTTTTTTTCTCATCATGGTCTTTGGTAATACATTCAGCATGAAAATAAGCCTTGACTTACATCCCAACAGGATAAAGAAAGTCAAGTGTGATATGAAATGACTATGCTCTTGGCTACATTTCCTTCTTTCTTTTCTTGACAAGGTGATAACTCTGTGCATAGGAGATTTGCACCTGGCCCCATCGATAATGAGTTAGATGAGGTGGAACTAGAAAGAAGTGGAATTTATGGAAAATCTCTGGAGCAATCCAAGGGATGAAATTATTAATAATTTTTTTAAAAAGCTGCAAGGAATATCTATAGTGCTTGGAGGTTTTTTTTTTTTCAGAAGCTTCAACAGAAAAAAAAAAAGATCAAGAAATCAATGAGAAGTATTTCTTCTCTCTGTACCCCTCCATTTGAACTGTAGCCCTAAACCCCAAAACATCAAGTCTCAGCCCTATTGGTAACACAGATGATTCTGATAGCTGTAATTCCAGAAGGTTTAATGCCTTCCATTTCAGTTAAAAACTACCCTCCTGGCTTTTCATGTTATGTCAGGTGTTCTCCAAGAGGTTAACACTTTACAGGTACCTAGAAGCAGTCTTTGAATGGAAATACATCAACTTTCTTCTCAGGCTATACCACTGCCCAATCTGTATGTGTCTTACCTGTCTAAACCAGGGACTGACTTTAAACTCCGAAAGTTCTGGCTGTCTAAGTCCAAGCTGTAGCTCCGCCCGCTTTCAGTTTTCGGAGTTATGATTTCTCCTCTGGTTGCTGATCTGAACTTGCTAAGAAGAAATCTGAAATTATATGAATATGTATATACTTAAAAGTAACAGAAGAGAGAAAGCATTTTAAAATTTCATTTCAAGAATGCCATTTCTTAAAAAAATGAATACCATTTCTAGTATTTTCAACATTAAGTAATTCTTCAATAAAGTGGCCTCGGGGCTGAGAGGTTCTGGGGAGCTCCCAGTGCCTCTGCAGTAACTGTCAAGGGTGATGGTAGAGCAAGTTACAACATTCTCCTGCGGTCATACCACTTGCTGGCAAGCCAGGCCTCTGTCCCCTCTAGAAAGCAGATCATCAACTTTGGAACTCCCCACTGTCACCTGAGAATGGAGAAGCAGTGCCCAAATTGAGCCTATATGCAGGGATGCTAAGAACAGGGAGCCTGAGCTCACCTTGCTCAGAGAATGGAGCTAAAATGATCCCCTGGGACAAACCAAGGTGGTCAGTTATTAGACTACAGCTCCATGAGAGCAGCAACTCTGCCCTACTTGTTTCCTGCCAGGTCCCCTAAGCCTACAGTGAAGCCTAGCATATATTAGAACCCAATCAATTCTTGTGGAATAAATGACTAGATCCATGTGGTGGACACCATCTTTCTATCTTCTGTGACATTTCTCCCTGTGGGAGTGAAGTTTGAACAATGAAGTGTCTCATGTAGGAGGAAATCTGACTATATTCCCATTTTACTAAATTATTTAGAACTTGAGCAAAAATAGCTTTTCAGGAACTGAGACCTGAGTCATGATCTAGGCTACTGAATGTCCAAGGCATGGAGGTTTCCAAATATACCTTAACAGAGAACCAAAGCCATATTCTTTTTGTGATAGCATTGGAAGAAACTAGTTTATCTACCTCATATGCTAGTTTTCTAGGTGGGAGGGGGGTGGGATATATTCCAAAGGTACTGGGACAATCTTAATAGAAGCTGCTAAGATGTTTGTTTCAAAGATATATGAAGAGTGTCTTGTCAAAGTGTCAGAAGCTTCCATCTAACCAGAAAATTACAGTTTTTGGTGAGAACAGCATTTAATATAATGTCAATCTGTGCTGCTCTGAGAACCCCCTTGTACACGGCCCATACTTCAACATCCATACTTCAACTTTTACTTCCTCCATGTGGCATCACTCTTCCCCATCTTTTGCTATTCCAAACCCCTGCCCATCTTTCAATGTTCTCATCTAGTCATGTTTACAATTTTTTTGAAGATTTTATTTATTTATTCATGAGAGACACAGAGAGAGAGGCAAAGACATAGGAAGAGGGAGAAACAGGCTCCCTGATGGGGGACTCGATCCTGGGATCCGGAATCACCATCTGAGCTGAAGGCAGATGCTCAACAGCTGAGCCACCCAGGCGCCCTCACACTTAAACTTTGATGTCTTTCCCCATGGTCCCTGAGACTTCCTAATACTGATGATCTAAGCCCCTTATTTAATAATTACTTAATTATGTATTGCCTGATGATATTCCTTGTAGGTAATTAATACCTTGTCTTAGTTCAGAAAGCGTTTAAGGTAGCTCATATTGTCATCTTACACTTTCCTAAAATTCTTCTATACATATTAACTTTTCAGGTGTGCACCTTTTCCACCCAACTAGCAGTTACATTCCTTGAAAATGGAGCTGTCAGACCTCAGTTTTGAGTTCCCACAAGGCTCATTCCAGCAGTATGACTGTTTTCAATTCGGAGGTATACAATTTATTGTCTCTCAGATCCAAGTTCATCATTCTGTAGCCCACACAGTGAAGCCTGGGCTAGGGTCTGCACACTACAGCTCCCACAAGCACTGGTGGGCTCAGAGTTACTTGTTCAATCAAGCCAATGATTGTTTTCGACGAGCCAGGCACCATGCTGGAGGCTGTAGCACAAAAAGAAAAAACAAAAAACCCACCAAAACCAAGCAAACAAAAAAACCCAAAAAACCAAAACCAAAAACCAAAAGCCACAGGTCCAGCATTAAGGGAGCTCACAATTAAGTGTGTGCTGGGGCTGGGGAGTTGTGAGGTGGTGTCAGACTACAATGTAATGAGTGATACACAGGCACAAGGCATTGTGGGAGCTCTGAAGGGTGACAAATGGGTTTAACCTGGCAGGAAGGACCAAGACGTGGGACATATGGTCACTTGAGGCCAATGTGAGTCTCTCTCACATTTATCTCTGCTAATTAATGAAGACATGGTTAGTCATGAGTGTCTGAGATACAGGACAATTAGGTTTCATTCCTACTCACAGTTCAAGAGTCTAAAAACAAAAGCACAACAGAACAAAAATAGACTTTCTCTAGGGCCTGATAAAGGCTCAGATACTAGCAGTCTCTCAAACTGTTTTCTGCTGAGAGAACAAAGCCACGCTATCCAGAAAGAATCATCAAGTGACTTGGTGGATATTAGAACCCCCGCTACCTAAGCTACAAAACAGACCAATGGTGGTCTGAGAAACGAAGACCTGCAAAATGCTGATCTGGGAAGCAGAAGTTGGCCTTTTGGTTCTTTCAACCTGTATTTTAGGGGCCTCTTTTCTCCCCCGAGGAAGCCCTGATACCCCCAGTTTCCTAGGTCCCCCCCCCGAATCTTGTTTCCCCATGTTCTTCCCATTCTTATTCTTTGTACTTTAGATATACATTTTCTGAATTAAGTTACTGAGGGAGCCAAATGTGGTTTCTCCCTTAAGGGGGCCCACATTTTCAACATAGGACATTATGTTTTAAGCCCAATTAATAAATCTTTCATTTGGATATTTCATATATCAGCACTAAAGTTGTGAGAGGGTGGTGACAATCTACAACAAAGCCAGTTGTCACCTCTTTATAGACAAGACTAGCCCTGATATGGAACCTTCTGCCCAGAAGCAATGAGAACCACTCAGTGCGAGACCAGATATGTCAAATGAAATAAAAACCTTTACATGTTCAGTCCAAGGGGACCTTGAATTATCTGAGAAGTAAGTAAAATTGCATTTCCTGAGGGGAATGATAGGAGAATGTTGCCTTGGTCAGTATGTTGACCTTCTGTAGGCCACTGAAGTGACATCAAACTTGAAAAACTAAGGAGTCTTGGGGTGCCTGGGTGACTCAGTCAGTTAAGCATCTGCTTCGGCTCAGGTCATGATCCTGGGGTCCTGGGACTGAGCCCGCATCAGGCTCCCTGCTCAGTGGGGAGTCTGCTTCTCCTTCTCCCTCTGCCCTTCCTGTTTGTGTTTTCTCTCTCTCTCTCTCTCTCTCTCTCTCTCTCATGAATAAAGTCTTTTAAAAAAAAAAGAAAGAAAAACTAAGAAGTCTTTATTTCACAGGATTCTGGAATACAGATCAACTATTCCCTTGGAAAAGATGTGTCTTACCCCTTTCTCCTGGGTCCATCATGACCGGCCTTTTGTCCTGCAGAAGGTGAAGTGTCTGCCTTTTCTGGGTCCTGGCGGGGTTGCTCTTGACCTTGTTTTTCTTCAGTTCCTCATTAAAAACAATCAGAAGACAAATTTACATGCAAAATGGCCAGAAATTAGAGCAATTTTCTATTCTTCATTCACTTTCCTACGTTAGCACAGGACAAAGAAGTCTATAGTAATTGGCAATGACATTCCCATCCCGTCTCCTAGTCACACAGTTATTTCTAATCTGCTGAGTGTTGCGGAGTTAAATGAAGATGAAGATCAGGACTCATCTGTGAGAGGTTTGCTGAGATAAGCTTTCTAGGGATGACTACAATGGAGGAAGGGTACATCATCCCTCTACAGATATTTTTAGGGCAGAGAAGCCTGGGTTCATGAGAACTCAAAATCCCTACAGACAGGATTATAGAAACAATACCTGATTTCTGAGCACATAAACTAGATTTCCTGAGGGTGAGCAGCTGTGTATATACTTCATGACTTGAGGGAGTCTATGTTCTGAAAAGTACTGAGACTTAAATGGGGAAAGCAACCAGAACTAACTTCTTAATTCTGACTCTACTCATTCTGTCCCCCAGGAGCATCAGACCTGATCTTACCCATGTGGGAAAGCCCTTCCTTGCTAGTATTCCTATTTGTCTCCCGACATGGCAGATAAGACAACTTAGAACAGGCCAGGAGATACCTGCTCCACCTTTACTACACCGTACGTGAGAAATATGCTCCTAAACACAAATTTCAATCAACATTTAACAACTAAACCGTAGTTTGAATGCAGAGAATACATTCCCAAGGTTGAGTTAGCTGCATTTGGTGACAGTATAATTCTTCATTGAGTGAAAGGGTCCTGAGCATTTCGGGCCATTTAGCATCCTGGCTCCTGCTCACTAAATGCTGTTCATTCCACAGTCATTGCAACACCCAGAAATGCTCCCTTACATTTCTAAATGCTCCCCTGGCTTGAGGGAGAAGGGCATGATACACATCACCTCTTGGTTGAGAACGAACCACTCGATTAGTAAAAGAAACAACATTTAAAAGCAATTTTACTGAAATACATCATGTTGAAAAATCAAGGATTGCTTTCACAATGTGAATCATCTAATTCATCTGTTTCATATTACTTTCTTAAATGTTTGGTAAAATACTGGAAGTGCACTCAGGAAAACAACTATCTGTGATGAAGATAAATGCCTCTTTTGAAAATCTCAGTGTGTCAGATATATGGAAAAAGCACTGTGGATTTTATTTTCTACTGACTTCCTCTTCATTTGTATAAATTGCAGATTTAGATTTCATGCTACTGAGCTTTGAAATGATCTAAGGGATTCAGAAAATTCAACTATGTTTATCTGCAACATATACAGGAAAATTTTGTAGCCCACCAAAATGAAGATTAAAACAGTTTTGAAACCAAATAATTGCTTTAATTACCTGTACTTCTTTTTAAGATGGACTGTCGGACTACATCAGTGCCCAGAATATTGACTTGCTTGAAACGCTTTGCCTTTTCTTCAAAGAACCATTCACCAGTTACAATCCTTAGCTGTCTACTCAAGAAAAAGGGGAGAGCATTGACATCCAGTTATTTAGCCAAATAATTAACTGTCAAAAATCCCTAATTGAGTAAAAAATAGCCAGTCATTTACAGAGTCTATCTCAATGCCTAGAGTATTTTATGGTGATTATAATGGCTCCTATTACTTAAATATATACTATACATCAGTTACTTGCTAATTGCTCTTCATACTTCATATATTTTTATCCACATAACAATCCTTTATAAATATCATTATCCTCATTTTATAGATGAGGAAATTGTCACTTAGAGCAATAAAATGACATGTTTTATATCACATAGCTGATAAGTAATAGAGCCAGGATCCCATCCCAAGCACTCTGGTCTAGGGCTCAAGTTCTTAACCACTGCATTAGTCGGCAAATACTCTTCAGTGGAGACAACAGGGAATGAGTGAAGGTTCTAAGTTACAAGGGGGCCACAATTAGACTCTGTTTTAGAATGATACCTTGATGTAATATGATGACTGGCTTAGGGTGAAGAGCAAATGGATCAAAGAGACAGGTTGGCCATGGCAGTAGTCCAGGAGAGAGATGACAAGACCCATGCTGGAGCAATGGCAAGACTGACAGAAATGAGGAGATAAATTAAAAATGTAGGTAGCAGAAGGGTCTGCCTGGATCTTGTAATCAACTGGATGTTGAAGGTGGAAAAGGATCTTTGAACAACCATGCTCATTTTTAAAAGCCCCGCCTGCAATGATTACACAAACTCTTTATCCCAGTTGCACAGGCCTATTTACCCTTCTCTGAACATGGCTTATAGATGTGTTGGTACAAAAATGTTCAACTACTCCCGTCTAAACACTTCTAGAGAGGATTATAATAGGAAAGAGATTGGAAAGTAGGATTGGGTCATACAGTGGAAATCTTCGAATACCATGCTAAGAAGTTGGAATGAACTCTCAATTTTATTAAAGCTCAGGTTGGATCATATAATCTCTGGAGCATCATATGGACAAAGGAGAAACTAGAGGCAGGCCAATTAGGAAGTTATTGCAATAGATTTAATAGGAAATGATTAAGATGTTTATCAGTGGTGGGAGCAAGGAGTGAAAAGAAAGATATAGATTCTTGGGCCACTGAGGATCAGCAAGATTAGTGGTAAATCAGACATGGTGGCTGAAGAAAAGCAGCTGAGAGTCAAGTAGAGATTTCTAGCCCTAAGAATCATAAATGTCTCTCTCCTCCAGCAACCCAAGATGTCAAAAGGAAAGAAGGCAAAGGGGAAGAAGGTGGCCCTGGCTCTTGCTGTCATGAAGAAGCAGGAGGCCAAGAAGGTGGTCAATCCCCTGTTCAATTAAAGGCCCAAGAATTTTGGCATGGGACAGAACGTCCAGCCCAAAAGAGGCCTTACCCGCTTTGTCAAATGGCCCTGCTACATCCAGCTACAGCAGCAAAGGGCTATTCTCTATAAACATTTAAAAGTGCCTCCCATGATTAACCAGTTCACCCAGGCCTTGGACTGCCAAGTAGCTACTCAACTGCTTAAGCTGGCCCACAAGTACAGACCAGAGACAAAGCAAGAGAAAAAACAGAGATTATTGGCCCGGGCTGAGAAGAAAGCTACGGGTAAAGGGGATGTCCCCACTAAGAGGCTGTCTGTCTTTTGAGCTGGGGTTAACACTCTCACCACCTTGGTGGAAAACAAGAAGGGTCAGGTGGTAGTGATTGCACATGATGTGGATCCCACTGAGCTGGCTGTCTTCCTGTCTTCCTTGTGTCATAAAATGGGGGTGCCCTACTGCATTATTAAGGAGAAAGATCAGGCTGCGGTGTCTGGTCCATAGGAAGACCTGTACCACCGTCACCTTCACACAGGTTAACTCAGGAGCTCTGACAAAGCTGGTAGAAGCCATCAGGGCCAATGACAATGACAGATATGATGAGATATGCCACCACTGGGGAGGCAACATCCTGAGTCCAAAGTCGGTGGCTCATATCACCAAGCTGGAAAAGGCAAAGACTAAAGAACTGGCCACCAAACTGGGCTGAGTAGATGCTGTTGAGTTTTCTGTACATAAAATAAAAAGTTCTCTTTCAGCTAATGTAAAAAAAAAAGAATCATATATATGTGACTCAGTAACTAAGTGGATTTAGAAATTAATAATTGGATCCTAAATTTAAAAAAAAACCACCCCAGAAAAATATGTCAATATGTTCCCCACCAGCAATTACTCTGAAATGCTGCTTCTAAATATAAAAGACAAAATAAAATTATATATGAAACACAGTTTCACTATTGGAAAAAAAAGTGAAATTGTTACCCTTGGAGAAAATTACCAAAAGGAAAAACTAGAGCATATACATCTCAGATTTACTCCCAAGTGGCTAGTCTGTTGAGAAGCAAGGCCTACTGAACTAGCTACAAACTATATACTATATATTTGCAGAATATATCAAATCTAAGAAGATCTAATCTATCAAAACAAAATGCTTGAATGGGTTAAATTATTTCTGGATACATCTCAAGCACTCCATAGACTTATATATCATTACTTCTGTTGGAAATAGAGATGGTAATTGTGTTATTCTGAATTCTCAAGATGTCCCTTCATGGTTCCTGTACCTTTGTTCGTCAGTCAGCCAAATGCTTGGTACTGCCATGATTGAATTCTGCTAATGGAATTAAAGCTGCTAATCAGCTGACCTTAAAATAGGGAGATTGTCTTAGATGATCTAGGTGGACACCCAAAGTAATCACAGAGCCCTTAAAAAACAGGAAGAGGAGGAGGAAGTCAGACCTGTGATGCTGCAATGCTACCAAACCAGAAGTAAAATTCCAAATGTGAGAAAGATCTGATGCACTAAGATGGCTCTGAGACGTAGACATCAACATGCAAGGTCCAGAGAGAGGATTCTTGGAGCTAAGGCTGGCTCTTAGCTAACAGCAAACAAGAAAACAGGACTCTCATTCCTACAGCTATAAGGAATCAGATTCTGCCTACCAAAGTGAGCTTGGAAGCCAAATCTTTCCAAAGCCTTCCAACAGGAGCTCAGCCAGCCAATACTTTGATTTCAGTCTTGTGAACCTTGAGTAGAGAAACCAAGCCATCCCATATTTCTGAGCTACAGAATAGGGAGATAATATATTTGCACTGTTTTAAGCTGCCAAATTTGTTATGAGAGCCACAGAAAACTAAAACAATAATTAAACATAGAAATATATTTGTTCTAATATTCAACTTAGGAAATGACTTGCACAGGTTGTGAGAAAATAAATACAGAAAACTCCTAAGACCAATAGGGCAGAGGTCGGCAAACAATACTGTGTGGGCAAAATTCATCCCCCCATTACATGTTTTGTATGGTCTAGGAGCTAGAAATAGTTTTTATATTTTTTATTGGTTGGAAAAAGTCAAAAGAAGAGTATTTTGGGACATATGAAAATTATATGAATTATATTCAAAATTCAGTGTCCATAATTAAAGTTTTATTGGAATACAACCATACTCATTTGCTTATGTATCATCTCTGGCTGCTTTTCTATGTTATAGTACAGTTGCAAAGTTGAGTATCTTTAGCAGAGACCACATGGCTTCCAAAGCCTACAATATTTACTCTCTGGAATTTTTGTTTTGAAAAATTTGCCAACCTCGGCAATAGGAAAGAGTTTACATAAAAAGAAAGAACGAGGGAAATAATACAGATCAGCAATTGAAAACAACCCAATAGTGGCATACCTACATCTCACTTCTGTTTTTTTTTTTTTTAATGTTCTTGGGATATGGGGGAAGTGGGTAGCACATCAACAGTAGTTTTACATGGGGCAGGGGAAAATGGGACAGCACCAGTCTACATTACCCAGGAAATGGTTTTCCATATGCTCTTTACCATATATGCCTAGAGCTGCTGCCAACACCTAACACAAATAAGATCTTCCCAGTATTGTTAGTCATTACCTCCTGCTATCCTTATAAAAGCAGTAAGTATAATCCTTGTATTTGCTCAACTCAGATGTGCACTGGAGTCATCCTTTCAGAGCTCTACAACATAAGAACAATCTCTTGGGATCATGCCTTTGCCAGGTTCTCTGGACCTGGGGGTGGATGGGAGTCTTGCTGGAAGAATGGCAAACTAATACCTAGTGAGTGTATACTACATAACAAGGAATGTGCTAGGCACTTAATATATATCTCTAATCCTCACTCTAAGCTATGAAGTAGTTATTATTATTATTTTTTTAATTTTTATTTATTTATGATAGTCACACAGTGAGAGAGAGAGAGGCAGAGACATAGGCAGAGGGAGAAGCAGGTTCCATGCACCGGGAGCCTGATGTGGGATTCGATCCTGGGTCTCCAGGATCGCGCCCTGGGCTAAAGGCAAGCGCCAAACCGCTGCGCCACCCAGGGATCCCTGAAGTAGTTATTATTATCATTATTCTCTTTCAGATGAGGAAGCCAAAGCTCATGAAGGTTAAATAACTTGCCAAAGGCATACAGGTATTAGGACAGAAACAGGATTTATACTGAAAGCTCATATCCTTTACATGTGGCTAAACTGCCAGAAAAAAATTCCCAGCTGTCAGCAATGACAAAACTTTAAGTAAGGATGAAAACTGATAGAAGTGAAGGAATGATACAGAGCATTCCATCTGATGGGCTATGATTGTGCGCATGTGTGCAGGCACACCTCCACACATGCACACTGCATGCAGAGTGATAGGAATTAAGGAGAGGGCAAAAGAGTAAAGAAAATAAACACGAAAAAAAAAAAGAAAATAAACACGATACCCACTGTGACATTTGTATCCTTCTCTGTCATATAAATCTAATATTTGAAAAATACAAGGCTTGATATCTATTCAGTGTTTCCTCTAGCTCATACTCTGAAGAATGAGTTTGAAATGAAGTCGGTTACCTTCATTATTTTTCATTAATGATTATTTAGTATCCAGAGTTTTCTAGGCCCTAATATGTTTTTAAGGTCTAACTCTTGGCACTTCTAAGTTTCAGATGGAAGCTTATTT